TTATGACTCATTAACTTTGGAATAAAGAAGGTTTTTGGAATTCTTGATCTAATGGTGGGCATGTCCTTCCTGTGTGTCGTGTCCTGTTCATCCCTTGTGGCAACATGTCTTCACAGGACTGTTTGTCTTGCATTCCATATCATCGCATATCATTTGCATTCGGTGGCTTGTTAGGGCCAAAAATTCGTGCAATGTTTGTATTTAAGTCCCTCCTATCTCGTCGAGACGAAGATTTCAATATCTATATCTCCGGATAGAAGTAACTTAAATAGGGGCATCTGTCACACCTTAATTTTTGACCTTAAGATCCCACCTCTTTGAGCGGTTTCTTGCATTATTTAAGTCAATTTTTTTTAGCGTAGCTAACCCTTTAACCAGTTTGCGTGTGTTGCTTTGTGAAATTAGGTTACTAAAGAAAGTCCGGAAATCATGAAGACTTTGTGTACTTCTTACCCCCTACCAGTTGTGCTGAATATTGTGGAACCACACGCCCTTGTTCTCGTGACCCTTTAATCATAGAGGACCGGGGTTTCCTCTGTTTTTTTAATGGGAAGCAAATTTGATTTGGAGAGAAAGGAACCGGAATTTTGTTGACGTTGTGAGGTTTCCATTGATTGAATAAGACATCCAATCAAGTACTTGCTATAATATCTCAAAGTGGCGTTTAAGATTCGTGGAATCATTGAAATAATATCACGAGTTACAATGTGAAGTTTATAATTTGAAGCACAAGACCAATTTTAAACATATGATCAAGATGGTAAGTTGTACCAACTCAAGGCACGTACAAGTTTATCAGCAAGAGTATGAGCTTACGGGGTTACAGTCTCAAAATTTATTCTGAAACTTTTTTATTATTTCCTTTTCACAAGATAGTTGTTTTACAAAGATAATAAGCATTGCTGTTAGGCAATTGGTAACAAGAAATCCTGGTCTTCCTTTTGAGTTTGCTAATGTTGTTAGGATAAGCCTATCCTTATCCTTGGAGTACACATTCACGTCTTGAACTTCATGGAGAGGCCCACCCTTTACTCCCCGGGACGTTCCGTACTTTGCAGCAAGCATCTGAAAAACGCGGAATGTAAGAGTTAGCTATCACTAAAACGAAAAAACCGGTTTTGTCAAGTGACTATATTAGTGTTTGCATAGGTGGATCAAGATGAGCAAACATGATTGTTGGAAAGATCAAAATGAAACATAGTTATCATCAGTGAATTGACATACCTCAAAAATCAGTCATAACCACCAATATCTCAATCTCGCCGAAGCCACTCCGAACAAACCGTATGCAAGCTACTAAGAGCATCTCCAGAATGTTGCTCCACGCCATATTCATGCTGCCACAACCATCAAGAACAACGGAAAAGAAAGCGTTAAGACTGACAGGATAGTTCATGTTTGATAACAACCTTCGTGGCTCTCCATAGTGATGTTCTAGGCTGCTTAGTCCTGCAACAAACAACATTACGGAAGCCACGATTATTTGATCCAATGATAAGTGTAAAATGATTAAAATACCACCAAGCCCCCTAACAAACTTCCTCTAGAAAGAAGTCATTGTTGTTTACAGTATGAACGCCTCCGTGAATGCTTAACGGTACACATGAAGAAGCAGCTTGAAAGAGACGACAATTTGAAAATCAAAATTGCGGTAATCATGGGATAACACGCACAACCTCTCACCTTCACCGCGAAATCTGCAAAAACCCATGCACCAATACAACGCCCGACTCGTTAAAACAAGTTTGAATTAGTGAGGAAGACCATTACATAAGTCTCAGTTGTTTTCTCATATCCTCTTGAACTCAAACTAACTACAAGCAAGTGAATTACCATAGAGCTTGTTGGTGTAGATGTGTGTAATATACTCTTTCCCAGCAGTGGGTCGTAGACTCTGTTGTTTAACCTTTAACGTCCACACTTCAAGCTAGGGAGGTTAGAATCAGCGAAATCTTAGCCGCAGAAAGCTCCTCACCACGCACAGTGTTATAACAGCAAGGCACTGCGAGCAGAAAAGAGAAACAGACGAAAAAGAAAGTCGTGAAAGGAATAAAGAAAGGAATTTACTAGAAACAAATGATCATCCCAGAATCAGCTCGGTGAAGATCTTCACTCTCCACTTCCACACGAAGAATACTTATCCCTGTTTTGGTCTGCTGGGAATCAAGCTCAGTAATAGCGATAACATCCACCCTAAAAAACCTGGCAAATAAGAAGACAAACATAATCAAGCACAATCATCACAGAATCAAGAAGCATTGATAAACTACCAAAACATGTCTCATACAGAAAGAATTTGAAAACGGAATTACTTCCAAGAATGTTTTTTCTGTCCAAAGTCATAAATGGAAATTCATCAATCATATTCAATTCCTATCCAAATGCAATCAGACAATAATTAAACCTTCCAATTCAGTGTTGACAAAGCCATAAACTCTTTCCAAAAACGAGACTAGACATGTTAATGCCAAGAAGGAAATGTTATAAGCAATTTAACGAGATTTCAATTTCCTTTCCCTAATAATCTCCGACATGATTTTCCAAAATCAGAAATGCTTTAAAGGCCATAAACAGGGGTGTCCCCTTCCATTAGTTTGGAGCCTATAAATTGGAAAGAGAACCGCAGATGGAATAGATAGAAAAGATTCACACAAAACACATTCACATACACCGAAAATCACAGACCAAAATATAGACGAAATCCTGAGACGAGAAAGAGAAAGGACCGTGAACTTATCTCTTGTGTTCTTCTTGTCAAACGCCAAGACCTCCGCCGGAGCTTGCGAACCAACCTCCATCGTCCACGACTCGCGGTAATCCCTCTGCTTGAGCCAAATTCATTGAAGCTTTTGATTTGTTTGTTTGTGTTTCAGGTTTAAAATGGAAGGAAGAAGAAGATGAGGCGAGACGCGAGAAGAAGAATCGGACGGAGAATTCGGAAGAAGAGAAATCGCAGGTTGAGAGAGAAGGAAAATCGCGATGAAGGAGGAAGAGGAATTTGGGGCATTAGGGATTTGAGATTCCCAGTCTTTTTTTTGCTTTTTGTAACGTTGTGATCATATACGACACACCACACACGCACTATGATGCACCCTCGCACACACGGCCCTCTGATCTCCAACGGATCAGATCAGGCGATCCACATCACAGCTCCACCGTAAACCCCCCAAAACTCACCCACACTTAGTCATACGCCTAAACCTTCCCTTTTCCTTAACTAATCATTTAATCCCTCTAATTAATTAATTAAACCATTAATCCCTTTTTTAAAAAACGTTGATCTGCCACTTAATCTAATCATCGTAGTCTAATAACTAATTTAACTAATTAAGTAATTAATTGACCCTTTTTAAAACATTAAACTAGTGCAATAAAAACATAATATGGAGTTGTTGGGATTCAAAGTATGTACACTGAATAAGTTTACCATTTGGTTTTCAAAATAATTGACAAAATATATTGTATATTTAAAAAAACCAAAACAGGGTGTTTCCAAGAAATTTATCTTGGTTTTTCTATATGTGAGGTGAAATCGTTGTCTTAAAAAGAGTTTTTCTAGTAGTGATCATCTCACCTTCATCCTCTGAAGATTCAAGTTCTAAATTAAAAGGCGACGATCTTACGTTAGACTTGAATTGGGTAGTACCGATTAGGCTATGCAGGTTGAGGTAGGGGTTTTAATTCCATTAAATCCTTGCTTGGTTGTTTTAAATACATGAAAAGTTCCTTAGTCAGTTGAATTAAAATGTGATGTTTGTTACATGGTTTGTTCCTAAACCCAAATGTGTGTTAGAATACAATTTTTAGTTGATTAAAGATCATAACTAAGTAGTAGACTTGGTTGATGTTCATAAATTTTCTCCTTACATGACTATGGATGGTTTCTGTAAGCTAGTTTCATGTTGGTTATGATATATTTCTTAGTACCTACCTTATTTAAGTTTTGGGGCTGTATATCATTGGAAATGCAGGAAAAAGGAAAAATTGGGACAAGATGATGTCCATCACTCTTTGTGACGGGCAACCCATCATGCCCCCATGCCCAGATGACGAGCGTCAACCCTAATGATAGACACCCCTAATTCTCAGGTCAAAATGACGAGAGAGAGAGAGAGAGAGAGAGAGAGAGAGAGAGAGAGAGAGAGAGAGAGAGAGAGAGAGAGAGAGAGAGTAATTCGTTGGATGTCGTCTAACTCTTAAGCTAGACTTAACGTAGTAAGCACTAGCTGATAAAAAAATTTCTCGCTAGCTATTATCTCTGGTTGGTGAGCATTGCCATAAAGGAAATTGTGTCAACATTCTTACATAGTAAGAGGTTAAAAGACCTCAAATCCTTAGTTTGTTTTATCCCATAAGAACTAGCTAGGACTGTAATATCATAGTATTTTCGGATAACTTTTAGAGTCGAATAGACTTATGGTGCAACTTAGAACTCTCCTGAGATATAGTATCTCATCCCACATATATTGATAATTTTTTGGTAGCTTGAAAAAAAGTAAAGATAAAAGAGAGACGCCTTCAAAATCTTAAGGAATTTATTGTCTATATATTATGTTCCATTGTGATTTTTTGTTTAGCCTTTGATTGGTATATAATTAGGATCTCATTGTGATACAATGATTGTACTCGGCGTCATATAACGCTTTGAATAATATTATTCTAAAAAATATTATTTAGGAATTAGGATATTACAAATCGCATTCATTGTTTTTCTTTTCTTCTTTAATCTTATGTACTAGTTGGTTAGTTGTTGTTCTAGTACATTATAATTTAACTTCTAAATACTTACATTATTATTATTACATGTCATTCTTTGTCATTTATCATCACATTCTATACGCAAAAAAAATAATATTTTAATGAATAAAAAATTAATCTATTCACACATAAATAATCTACATGAAAAAGGTCTTGACATGAATTTATATGATATATGAAAAGTGAGGAAAAGAAATGAAGCACAAAAAAAAGTAAAAAAAAATATGAATGTGTACAACAATCTAATTCATCAAAAGAGATCCAGATTTTCTAGGATCAGTAACATTAATCTTCCAATGATAATCAAGTGATCCCATCTTCATAGATCTCCTCCTTTCCCAATTCAACTCAGTCCTACGTTGTCTTGTCAACCTACAAAAACCTTGTAACTTGTTGTCCATTCCATCATGAAATTTCCACCAACGTTGGTGTGCTACATCACTAGCATAAACCCTTTGATCTTCCACATCCCAATTACAATCATAGTCTCTATAACAATTCCATGGCTTCAAACCAAGGTAGTGAATTGCATATAGTTTTGGAGGATCAGAACCAAATAAACCATTTTTCACACTTGCTTCAACCGTTGTGTTTGACCAAAAATTCTTCAAATAGTTTACTCTCCTTGGAAGCCTATGCCACCATACAAATATCTCATTTAGGAAGCCTTGGTCGCCTCCGTTGTACGAAACGATATCGTATCGTCGACTCATCAGCACACTAGATAAAAAGCAAAATATAAAATAAAGTCAAACTATTTTCATATAAACTATGCATATCTAGTCTAAAATCGTAAAATCTACCTGAACGTGCAATTGGAGGGCTCGATAACCATGATCCCGGAGTTGAAAATCGATTGATCATTACCAGTAGCGGTCATTTGAGGAAAGTTGAAGAGAATATCAAGATTTCGAAGCACGACAATATCAGAATCTATGAAAATTATTTTCTCATAATCGGTAAGTTGCCACAACCGAAACTTACTATAGTTATACTCATTGTAAGTTCCGTTTTCGGCTCTTGGGTTTCGAATTCGGGTGATGGTTCGAATCTTCCAACCGGCCGCAGCCAATGCGTGACGTTTGCGGGCGGAGATGGAGTTGTCGATGAGGAGTATAAGGTCGCGTTTGGTTCCGGATTTTAGAAGGCTTTGTGCTAGGGTTATTGCACCACAAACGTAGCTTTCTGAAGAGTGTAGAACTGTTGCATAAGCTTCATGTTTTGCTCTTGTTTTGCTTCTTACAGTTTGTTCCATTTTGGATATGTCGTAGATTTTGTCTATCCCTGCAAAATCAACACTATTTTCATTTTATTATTTACCATAAACAAAAATGTTACCACGTACTATATGGTTAAAAATTTATATCAAACATATGTTAAATTTTTAGATACTATTACTATGAAAAAAAAATTAAAGATACATATTACCATGGATTTGTCAATTGTCTAGAAAATTTTATAAAATGTATCTTCTTTAATATCAAAGAGTTGAAAAAGTAACTTTGCTTGTAATGTAAGTAAAGGGTTCCTTAAAAAACAATATTTCGAGTAGACAAGAATGTTGAACTAATATCAACATGCTTATGTTGATGACACAATAAGTACCTAACTAGCATGACAAGTCAATTTATAGTGGTTGGTTAAGGTCATGCAAAATAATGTAGTGGTTAACATGTCCATCATATATGAAGCATAGATGAAATATTCTTCTTTTTCCCATAAAAGTTAATAAAAACAATAAATTATTAAAAGATAAAAATTATATTAATTATAATATTTAAAAAAATATATAATTAATTCGAGTCTGTAATTAAGTGGATAGAGCGTCTATTTCTAAAATGAAAGTTATAGGTTTGATTTCTATCTAATACTCAGGTGCGGATCATTAATTTTTTCAAAAATTCAAATTTTCTATATTTTACTTTGTAAACTTTTTAATTATCGCTCAAGTAATAATAATAAATTAATAAGGATTACTCACTATTAACTTTCACAAATTTATGTAAAATTTTTAAAACAAAAAAATAAAATAAAATATTATGTAAGAAATAAGAATAAAAATTACATACCTTGTTCCCATAGAGGCAAAGCCAAGTTACATGACCCAATAGGCAAACTAACTTTTTGCTCCAATTTCTTTACATCAACTTCATAAAACCACCAATCATCTTCATGTTTAACCAAATCATCACATCTAAAAATCTCCAACATTGGTCTACATTTACTCCAAAACAAAACCCTACTCTTCAATTTCCAATCTTTCTTTCCCTTTTTCACAACCATATTTGCCACAATAAGATGAACTTGCAACCTCAAAACTTCTCTCCCCCACCCTTCTAATGGATACTTGCATGGTAACTTTGCAACTATTAAATCCATTTTATCGTATGCTTCAAATTCCGGCATTGATATTTCGGGACATGTTGGAACGTCGCTTTCTTCTTCTTCGTCGATCCATTCGGGAAATAAATCTGTCCAATTGAAAAATTGTGATACTTTCTCGAAGTTTATTGGTATTGTTTCTCCATGTATGTCCCATTCACTTAAGTCGTCGTCTTCATTCATGTTCACCATTCCGATTTTCATTCCCTTACCGATTTTTTCTCCTAAAAAAATCGGCACTTCTATCTTAGTCCCATTTTTCTTTGTACTCAATGATTTTTCTCTAGGCAATTCTTCTAATATAGCCTTCATTTTTATGCTATTTTCTTCCTACATGTTTGAAGATCACACAAATAAACAACACTTATTCATATATTAAGGTTGCATTCAATGAACAAAATAAACAAACATAATATATATTCCATATAAGAAGAAGAGAAAGGGATGCCATTAGAATAGGCTCACCTTACCTTATGATGACATTCTCTCAATGAACATCTAACAAGAGAAGCTGCATTTTCGAAATAGACCGAAGACGAAGGCCGAAGAAGAAGAGTTGCATAAACAATCAAGAAGATGGAAAGACAAAACAAATTGAATCTAACAACCAAAGCTTTGGATGGTGCTGTCTTCACCAACTTATGAAGAGTTGAAACATCCATGATCTTTAAAGAGAAATGTTATAGGAGAAAAATAACAGTCCCTAAAGTGTAGGGGACTATACTATATATGTAAATGAATCTCTCTTTCATAAATTTGGATGTATTAGTAGTTAAAAATCATGATTAGCTTAAGTAGCAAGGATTAGGAAGTAGTTGTTGGAAAATTATGAGTAAACCTCAAAGCTTGACTAACCATTTGTCCTTTTCATGTTGATTAGACAATTTTTGAGATGGGAGAAAAATGGAATTGCTTTACTTATATTTCAGGTTATCTATACCTACAACTTCTAGACCAAATTCAAAATAGAAATAATATTTCAGGTTATCATAAAGACTTATTATAAAAAGTATTTGCACTATAAAAATCATATAAATTATTTATTCAATACCATAGGGTAGGGATAGAGTAGTAAAACAACAATAGCAATTATGGAATGAGGCAAATAAATATATAAAACAAAGAAAAATGTGTTGAGAGTGGTTATGGAGGCTCACCAACAGCAACTAATTGGTTGTCCTGTCAATTTCCTACGTGTAAACAAAGATGAAAGGTTATTTGTTTGTGAACTATGAAGTTCCACCAATTCATGATGTTTAATCATAAATTCGTTTTGGCATCATATAAAATATATGTATTGGTTGCACGTCAGAGTATGATAATTCACCAAATAGTTTCATGGAATATATTTTTTATATTGCACGAGGAATGTACATAAATAAGAATATGGTAGAGTATCACAATTCATGTCCCCACGTTTTATCTTTGACTATGAGACTAACTTGGTGGGTGGGGCAAAGGTTGGCTAAACTAGTGTTTAGTTTAGGTATATCAGGTTTACTTGCATTTATTTTTTTAATCGCACTCTTTAATATGTCTGTTATATCAATTTCATTTTTTACGCATTTTTGCAAATGCAGTCATTAATATTATTTATTTTAAATATTTTTTAGATTAAAAAAGAAAGAGTGTCTATGAATCTGCTCTATTCCGTTTCATTTTTTTGTATAACAAATTATAATTTTAGATTTGTTTCATACACTATACTTGTCCTATATTTTTACGGACTTCTGGATATATACGAGATAGACATGTTTGTTCGACAAATATATGAGGCCTAATTAGTCAAGTTTTTGAAAATTGTGACATATTTTGTATTAATAAATTAGATTATATGTTTGATAATAGAGTGATAAAAGAATCTTTGTCTATGTTATGAAATTGATTTTTTTAGTAAGAATTTATTTGAGAGTGCGAAAGCATATTAAGGAGTTTGGTCCTCTTTAAGAGATTTACTTTTGTCCTCTATAAAAGTAACATTTGTTTTTTATTTGATTTGTAATTTTTGTTTATTAATGTGTCCTTAGAGTAATTTTAACGCATAGTTGTTAAACTAAAATTTTGTATAGTTTACGTTAGTAATAAGAAATTTGCATTATAGTAGAGCTGACATGACATATGAGATGCTCTAAAACTAATTTACGTGCTCTACACAAGCAACGTACTCTAACTTATTATTTAACATAAATAATAAATTTTATTAATTATTTAACATAAATAATATATTTTTCTTATAAACAATCACCATTGAAGTAAAAACTTCTTAATTCAATTTTGGATTGCTTAAATCCTTCATGTCAATTTGAACCCACGTAAAATAACTTAGTTCATCCAATTTAGTTACTACCATTAAAGATGCTCTTATATATTTGGTGAAATTCATACAAATTAATGTGCTTTCATTTTTTTAATTTATTTTTAACCGTAACATATACTCCTTCCATTTTTATTTATAAATTTTTTTTAATATTTTAAATTTATTAAATAAATAATACATCTATTTTATATATAGTCTAAATACATCTTTTATTGAATAAATTTAAAAAATTAAAATTTATTTATAAAAGAGAATGAATGAAATATCAACTATGATATGATGTATTAAAAAATGAATCAATGCATTCACGACCAAAATCCTAAAAAGGATGGCAAATCAATTGTGAAAATTTTAGTTCAACTATAAAGAAAGGACAAATAAAATGGATTTAAAAAAAAAAAATTGGAAAATCAATTATGACAATCTTCCTTCAACTACAAAGAAAAGAAAAATAAAAAGAAAGTTAAAAAAAAAATAAAGTGGAAAATCAATTATAACAATCATTTATGACATGTGGGTTTTATCATGAACAACTATATGATAATACACTAGTTTACTGTTAACCATTAGATCAAGTAAGAATTATGATAGACTAGTTGGACTAGTTGGATCTAATTATTTTTACCTGTAAATAAATAAAAGTTTATTAGGAGATGCAATTAACGAGTTTATGGTATAAACTAAACCGAAATGAATTCAATTATTAAAAAAATCACTCAAACCAAACCGAACGGTTTAATTTATACACAATTGAATTAAATAAAACAAAATTATTAATTTAGTATATCGATTTAGAATTTCGAATCATACCAAATTATTAGAAGATAGTTTTTTTTTCCAAATCGAACCGTTTATTGAAAAAACATAACTATTATACTTTTTCAAAAGGAGAGTGGTGTGTGGCAGGGAATTTTAATGTCGTTAAGAAAGAGAGGGAGAGGAAAGGGACGAGTGGTTAGTTCAGCAAGAAAGAAGCAAATGAGTATAACTCTTTTACAGGGGAGATGAGTCTCATTGACATCCTAGTTGTTGGTAGCAAGTTTACTTTGGTTATATCAAAAGGAGGAACTATGAGTAGACTTAACTGTTTCTTAGTGTCAGAGACTCTTTTGTTAGAATGGAAGGTGGGAGATCAGTATGTGGGTAATAGATAAACTTATGATCACAAACCAATTTGGATTAAAAGGAATCGTTATAATTAGGGTCTTAAACCTTTTAAAATTTTCAATGCTTGGTTAGAGCACAAGGCATTTCTCCCTTTTTGTGTCTAAAGTTTGAGATCTATCCATTAAAAGGATATATTTCATTTTAAAAGAAAAGTTTAAGGTTTTGAAAAATGCTTTGAGGAAGTGGAATAAGAAGGTTTTTGGAATTCTTGATCTAAAGGTTGACAAAGTAGTCATAAAAGTTAATGAGTTAGAAACCTTAGAGGCAAAAGACAAAGTGAGGGATGTTGAACGCTACTTCAAATCTTCTTCTGAGGCTGATTTGAAGATGTGGTAGTCCTTGGTTACAAGAGAGAGTATTTTAAGACAAAAGTTGAGACACAAATGGATCAAATAATGGGACTCTAAAAGGAGACCAGAGACCACTTTGAGGTTAGTTTTAAAGAGCCAAAGTTATTTAGACCAACCTTAAATGGAGTCAATTTCAAGTCGCTTTCTTTGGAGGAAAGGCTTTTTTTTTTGGAAATTCCTTTTGGAGAAGAGGAAGTGAAAGAAGTGTTGGAACAAAACTGATTTGTCTCATATCCCTTGAGTTTTGACAATAACACAGTATTTAAAGAACAATTGGGTATACTAATATTTGTTCAAGCGTGCAAGATCATAGACTAAAATGTCATGAATAATCTAAGTATTAATTCTGACTAAGAACATCTTAAGAGAAGCTTAAAGACTAGAATCTAATGGACCAGAAGCTGAATACTTGACTCTGAAGAAGTCAATGTCTAAAGGTTAGAGTCTGAAGAAGTCAGCCTCTGAAGACTAGACTTTGAAGAAGTCTGCCTCTGCTGATCAGAACCTGGAGACTAGTTAAAGCTCAAGAACCAAAGTAACTTTGATAGGTCACTGTCGAACTCTGAGCCTAGTTTGTCACGTGAAGACCTAAGAAATATTTCTTCATAGACTCAGCTGAGATACAACTAATAATTCCTCTTGTAGAAAAGAAATTTCAAACAATCTTTCAACGACATTAACCATTTGAAGAAACATCTCAACGTCTCTATTCAAGCTTCTTAAGGATTCTCTTGTTTTGGATCTTCAACAACTATTTTCCTTTTCTATTTAAGGACCTGAAGACTTGAAGAAAAATAATGAATGAACCATTGAGATTCAAATAATAGTTACTTTGTCAAAACATAAGCACAAGTTTAACTTAGGATTCCTTACCTTTGTATATTCTAGAAATCCCTAAGTCTTAAAAAGTTCTTCTTAAGTTGTATTTTGTCTACACCTCTGATTGTATATCAAGTGTATTAATCCAAACAATCTGTTATTTATTTGTTAGATTGTTAGAATTTGCTTACTTAGTGTTTGAGCATTTGAAGTTTTTTTTCTTGTGTACTTGAGCATAGAAGTCTCTTGCATGTATGCTTGAGCATTGAAAGTCTCTTGCTTGTGTGTTTGAGCATAGAAGTCTCTTGCTTTGTGTTTGAGCATTGAAATTCTTTTGCTTGTGTACTTGAGCAAATTGTAATCTTATGTGATTATAGTAAAAATCTCTTGTATGTCCAAGAGAACTAAATTACTCTTGAGTTGTGAGAGGAACCATGATAACTCTGTGTGTCTCTCTCTCTTATTTCTTGCTTTACTTATCCGCTGCTTATCTCTGATTATTTAGATTATATTCTCTTTGTTTAGAATCTGACCCAGATTTTAAAAGATAAAGAAAAAGTCAACACAATTCAACCCCTCTTCTTATGTTTTTCTCACCTTCAGTTGACATCATATCACAGTATGTGCTAAACACTTAACAGTGGAGCAGAAAAGATATTGAGAAAAACATATTGAATCATGTCTGGAGTTTTTGAATCTGATATTGGTACTCATCATCCACATGATGCTATTAATCATGATTATAGCATTTCAAAAAAGAATAATTATACAACTAGACCTCCAATGTTCAGGGGAGACTTTACTGAGTTAGAATGGTGGAAGAGCAAGATGTATACTCATATCATAGGTATTGATGATGAGTTGTGGGATATTATTGAAGATGGAAATGATATTCCTATTAATGGAGTAGGAATGGTCACTGAAAAAAAAACTATTACGTCTGCTCTGAAAAATATCAATAGAAAACATCAGAGTTAGAAGCATCTTGATTGATGCTCTACCTCATTCT